CATAATGTCGGGGCCCTAGTTTTATCAGTTAATCGTGCATAGTGTGACGATGTATGCGTCTGGAACACTAGTGGCGCACAATGTACGTCCGCGCCGAGGTACTTGCTCTGTTAGGATAAGACGTTTTCAATACATAACCCTGTTGCCAGCATGACGCCATCGGTCGTGTCGGAGCGCATGCGTCAGGTTGAACCAGTCAGGCCATTGCGTGGCGCACTGGGGGGACGACCTGAAATAAGGTGAAGGCGTGGGCATGGCGTGGTCTTCTTCCTCTTCCTCTTCGTCGCGGGGTTCGTGGTGATCCATGGAGGGAATGGCAGAGTGCATGTTGTGTGTATCCGCGGCTCCGTCGGATAGTTCGATGCTCGATGTCCTCCCTCCGCCCCACTCCTCCCTGCATCGGCCCTCCTCCTCCCTCCTCTCGGCCCCCACGGACCTGCAGAAGAGGCGTATGAAAAAAGAAACAACAAAAAAACACGTCTTACACAGCGGAATCGAATGATGTTGATTGGCTGGGCGGCTATGTCGAGTAGGAGCTGTTGCAAGCCAAACGCCAGCAACGAAAACTATGATGGTACGGGATGCAAGCATCATCCAGGTCACCAAGGACCAAGGCAGCGCTATGGGCACAACGACAAACACGACCAGGCAACTTGGAACGCTGACTCCAGGGATGCATTGTTTGACCAACCTGAAACGATGAGCACGCCTAGGCGAAACCATGCCCCAAGTCCCACTGCGCCTCACGGAACCCACGGGGTCCCGCGGGCCAGCTTGATGCACTTGGAGACTTGTTTAGCGTCTCTTGGAGAAGATGCGCCCGCCACTGCCTGGCCCACTCGGGGGCTGCCAAACTGACCACTCAAAGGTCCTCCGAGGTTTCCTGGGCCCTCCCGCAAGTTTAGCGCGAAGGGCCCCGAAGGGAGCTTTACCGAAGGTTCCGCTGCCACTGTTCGAATGGGTCCCCCCCCCGATTTCGGCGCACCCCTCACACGCGTCATAGCACCAAAACGAGCAACCGAAGGTCCGTTTAGAGCAATTCGCACGCATCCCAGACGCCTGGCCGGCGCCTAGGGCGCAACAGCGGACACTGAGGGCCACGTTTCCGCGTTGGCCCGCGCGTGGTGCCATCGATCGGTGTCAGTTTTTTTTTTCGCCGTGGAGCCGCGTCGCCACGCGGACCGACAGTCCTCGCCCCCGGGGACCGACAGTCCTACATCGACACGCCTGATGTTCAACGATGTGCCGCTGATTTGGCCAACGATGCCCACGGCCCACGGGGGGCGAGGGTGGAGACCATTCGCCTCGCGTCCGCCTGAGAACTGGAGACAGAAGCCGCAGGGTGGCATGAACAAGTTGCCGGAAGGCGCCCACGGTGGCGTGACGACCACGAAATCACGCGTATGACGAAAATGCGGCGCAAATTTGCCATGCACCATTTAAAACTGATTTTTGTTTTGCAAATTCGTCATGCCATGTTCATGCCAAATTCACACAGGATTCATGCCAGAATTCATGCGAGAATCCATGCCGCGCGTCGCGCCGTCTCGCTGCGCGGGGGCGGGCGCCAGGGGGCGCGTTTCGTCACTCCAAAGGATTGTCGCGTAAGGCTGACAGGGGTTTCGCCCCGCAACTGAACGGGATCAGAGGGGGATGAGGAGGGGGAGGGGGAGGAGAAGGAGGAGGAGGAGGAGGAGCAGGGGGAGGGGGGTGAGAAGGGGGAGGAGGAGGAGGACAAGGAGAAGGAGGAGGAGAAGGAAGAGGAGGAGGAGGAGGAGAAGGAGGGGGTGGGAGAAAGAGGAGGGAAGGGTGGAGGAGGGAGACTGAACACGTGGATGAGGAGAAGAGCTACCAGGACTGGAAGGGCGGAAATGGTGGAGGACGAAGAGGAGCAGGGGGGCAGGACGATTGGCAGGAATGGGGGGCACCCCAGAAGCATGTTGGCCAGCATGGGCCCCGCACATTGCCTTCAAGCGTACTGGCTGGTGCAAGCTACGTAGTGCAATTGACTACCCTGCACCGCGCTTGACCACTCCACTGCTCGCGCAAACATCCCACCCACCCACCCGCAACTTGGTTCGCAAAATCTCTTAAGACCGTGACGGTGGGTACCAAATGGCACTTGCCAACGACAGCGACGCCGACGACGACAGCGACAACGACGACGACGACGACGCCGCCGACAACGACTACGACGACACCGACGACGTCTCCAACGACTTCGACGACGCCGACAACGACGACGACGACGACGACGACGACGACGACACGACGACGACGACGACGCCGACGCCGACGACGACGACGACGATGACAACGACGACGACGATGACGACGCCGACGACGACGACAACGACGACGCCGACGACGACGACTACGACGACGTCAACGACGCCGACGACGACGACGACGACGACGACGACGACGACGACGACGACGACGCCGACGTCGACTACGACGAAGACGACGACGCTGACGCCGACGACGACGACGAAGACGACGACGACGTCGACAACGAAGACGACGACGAGGGAGGAGGGAGGACGACGACGGCGACAACGACGACAACGACGACAACGACGAGGGAGGAGGGAGGACGGCGACGACGCGAACGACAAAGAAGGAGGAAGGACGGCGACGCCGACGACGACAACGACGAGGGAGGAGGGAAGACGACGACGACAACGACGACGACGACGGCGACGAAATAGGAGGGACGACGACGAGACGCCGACGACGGACGACGACGACGACGTGGGAGGAGGAGGGAAGGACGACCACGGCGACAACGACGACGGAACCGACCACGACGCCAAAGAGGACGACGACGACGAACACGAGGAAAGACAGAGGACGACGTAGGCGACGACGACGACGACAACGACGCGGGAGGAGGGAGGACGGCGACGACGACGACGACGACGACGACGCAAGAGCGCGCGCGCACGCTTTTGTTGAAAATCCGTGTTGCGAAACCTTGGGTTTTTTGTGGGTTTTTTGGACGCGCGATTTCGAAATCCTTCCGAAACCGATGGGTTTTGAAGGATTTCGGCGTACGCGCGCGACCATGCGCGCGTCTGCACTTCGTCCCATTTTTTGCAGAGGATTCCCGCGACGGCACACGCGCAAGGGCGTTCGACAGATTTCGACATGCGCGCGCGCGAAGCCCGTTTGGTAGCATTTTGTGAAAATCTTGAAAAACCTACGGTATTCTTAAGATTTCGCAAGAGCTCGCGCGGAAGTTGTTTAAGCAAATCAGTGTTGCGAAACCATGTGTTTTTGTATGTGCTTTGGAAACTCGATTGCGAAATCCTTCCGGCACCGAAGGTTTTTGAAGGATTTCGGCATGCGCGCGCGACGACGCGCGCGTGTGCACTTCGTCTGATTTTTTGCAAGGGATTCGTGAAAAGTGCTATGTTAGAACAGAAAATGTCACCGCATAGTGCTTTTTACAAGGGACCCTCAGGGGGGGGCGGGGAAACCGGCCTGCCTGGGATGGTATGATGTCATATTTAGGATGGACGAGTGTGCAGAATATATATATATATATATATATATATATATATATGTGTGAAATTATATTATCCCAAGGGGAAGCGTTAAGTCCGGGAGGGGGTAGAGTCTATTCTCTTTTTAGAAAGGAGAATCTACGTGAGGCAATATATGCGCTGGACTCTATGTGGTGCACGCTATGTGGTACAATGCATGTAACGCCCGGCAATGCTGGCCCAGGCTGGTTTTCCATTGTCGGGCGCGACATGCGTGGGCGGTGGGTCATATTAAGCTTATGGGCGCGCGAGGTCGCCCCATCTGACGGCGCAGCACGGGGGGAGCAACATCGCGAAATTGCGATGACAAGGCGAGCCAGGCCAACGGAGAGAGAAAATAAACAACCTAAGCGTATATAAATGCCACAGGAAGACAGATCGCACGCCACGGCCACAAGAACGCGAGCGCCCAGCCTCTACTGGGAAAACACGCCCAGCATGAGTTGCTTTGAAACCCGCAGAGGAAAACATGGCGGAATCTAGTCGCGCACAGGTACCCAGAGCGCAAGGCGCGGAATGCCCGCTTGAAGTGTTCCCACAAAACTTGCCCTGCAATTGCCATGCCGGTTTCATACCGGTGCCGTGTGCGCCCCACGCCACCCTGCCCCCCCTCTCCCCCCGTAGCCCTCCCGCCCTCGCGCGCTGGAGCGAAGACCAGCGGGGGAAGCGACGTGCGCGAGCAGAGACACGTGCACGTGCGCGTCCTCCGCTGTCCCCGCGCGCGCGCGGGCGGCCGCGCGCCCCAGGCGCGGGGCCCGCTAACCGCGCTCCGACGCGGGCGGCCGCGCACGCGTACGCGTGTGCTGCTGGCCCTGTGGCGGGGGAGGAGGGGTGGTGGAGAGGAACGGGCGCCAGGGTTTGCCCTCGACCCTCGAGGGTCGAGTGGGGGGAGGGCCGGGACGCTCTCGACCAGCGTGGGGCCTCAGGAGGCCTGCGGAGGCCTGCGGGGGCCCCGGGGGACCCCTGGGCACCTCCATGCATCAGGGCCCGAGGCGGCAGCGCAATTTACCACTGCGAGCTGCGCAGACAGGCACCAGAGCTTCCCGGGAAGCGGTGGAGGACGGCAACGAGGACGAGGAGGAGGCAGGAAGAGAAGGAGTAGGACGACGACGACACCCACGACAACGACGACGACGACGACCACGACGACGACGACGAGAAAGCTGACGACGACCACGACGACGACGACGACCACGACCACGACCACGACCACGCCCACGCCGACGACGACGCCGACGGAGGCGACGACGACGACGACGACGACGACGATGGCCACGGCGACGACGACGATGGCCACGGCGATGGCTACGGCCTCGACGACGGCGGGGACGGCGACGACGGCAACGTGCGCGCGGCCGCCAGAGGTCCCCGCAAGCGGCGGAGAGCACCCTGCGCCCGCCGAAAGCCTCGCAGGGGACGCGCCTGGCGCGGATCGTTCGACGCTGCCGTGTGCGCAGCGCGCCACCGCCGCCTCCTCCTTCTCCTTCTCCTCCTCCTCCTCCTCCTCCTCCTCCTCCTCCTCCTCCTCCTCCTCATCCTCCTCCTCCTCCTCCTCCTCCGTCCGCCGTCTTCCTCATCCTCCCTCGTCCGCCGCCTCCTCGTCCTCCTCCTCCCCGTCCTCCGCCAGATCAGCCCCGTGTTCGTCGTTTCGCCCCTTCTCCACCAACGTCCCCCCCACAATCACATTATCGTCGTCTTCCTCCTTCTCCTCCTCCTCCTCCTCACCCACCTGTTCCTCACACTCCTCAGCGTCATGGGTCTCGACATCGTCCATGCCTTCCTGCCCGTCCTCCCGCACCCGTCTCCAGCCTACTTAAATGGTCTCCGCGAGGCCAATGCTGGCCGGAACAGGGGGCGATGTCCGGGAAAGGAACCTCGCCCTGAACCCTGCCCTGGTGCACGAAGCTCCGCTCACGCCCGACCCAGCTCAACCACTAGCCCACCACCGAGGCCATCGTGATGCTGCTGCGCGCCAGCACCTCCCACTCCCAGTTGATCCAAAAGTCCCAGGGCACGGCCTGCGTGGAGCAGGCGACGGCCCAGACGCCGTCGTCGGTCCTGCTCACCAGCGGAGCCACGCCCGCCATGTGTTGCTGGCGCATGGCGCCGACGAAGCACATGTTCCCGCCGATGCAGGCTGGGCACTTGCCTCCGCCCCCACCGGGCCAACAAGAAAGCTGAAACGTGTAGTACGTTCCGAGAGAGTCGTAAAAAGCTGTTGCGGACACATGCGGCTCCCGAATCGGTCTGGAAGGTACAGGGGGAAGAGGCACCTGGACTTCTCCTCTGGATACTTTGCGAAGCACCTCCGTTGAGGAACTGAATGCCGCCCCCGACATCGAAGACACTCATGTGTGCAGGCCATCAGTCGATCCAGCTCCTGTCCTTCGGGTCGAGGGAAAACACATTGCCGTGCTTCAGGACAAACTCTGCCGCCACCGCATCGGCGTGGTAGAACACGGCCGACGCACCCGCGTTACCGCCACCGAGGACCACCTGGCTCTCATCGCCAATCGCCGTGCGCGCCTCCAGGTCCGCGGCGACCGCGGAGAGGGTAGCCCGAACCCTTGAAGTGAGCCCCGTCGACGACGGCGTCGCCGCTGAAGCCCATGCCGTCGCAGTACAGAACCCAGACCAAGTCCAAGTATGGAACGACGACGACGATGTGGTCCACCTCCTCAAGCTTCCCAATCGGGCGTGGCCTCCGCCCACAGCATGCGCCCCCCCTCAGGAGTGAGCGCGGGGAGGCAGGCGGGAACCGCTGAGACGGAGCGTCGCGCACTGGCCACCCCGAGCAGCTCTCCGCCCACGAGCCGCCGTGCCGGCTGCACGCAAAGGGGCCCGAGGCGGGAGCGACCTCTGGTGCGCGCAAGGTGGCCAGATCCAAGCGCGCAGGCAGCCACTGCCGCATCGCGCTCCGCGGGCGCAAGGACCCTCCGTGAGCCCGCACCGAGAGGCCACTCCGGCCAAGGGCCACTCTCACACGGTGCGGTCGAGAGCCGCCGTGCTCCACGCGGGACTCCTCGGGCGGCAGCGCCCGGCCGTTGCCACCGCCGCCGGCCCCGCACGGCGCCCGGCCCGTGGCACCGCCGCTGCTGCCGCCCTGTGCGGCGGCCATCGGTGGCCATCGTGCCGCGGCCTGCGGCCTCCTCGGCCGCGGCGGGTTTGCTGCTCGAGCCGAAAGGGCTCCGGACTCGTCCTCCTCCTCCTCCTCCTCCTCCTCCTCCTCCTCCTCCTCCGCCTCCTCCTCGCCCGCCGCCTCGTCCTCCTCCTCCTCCTCCTCCTGCTCCTCCTGCTGCTGGTCCTCCTTCTGCTGCTCCTCCTTCTGCGTCTCCTCCTTCTGCTGCTCCTCCTTCTGCGTCTCCTCATTATTCTCCTGCTCTTCCGCATATTCCTCCTTATGGTGAGCCTTCTCCTCCTCCTCCTCCTCCTCCTCCTCCTCCTCCTCCACCTCATCATCATCATCATCATCATCAGCAGCAGCATCATCATCATCATCATATCATATCATCATCATCATCATCAGCAGCAGCATCATCAGCATCAGCATCATCATCATCATCATCATCATCATCATCATCATCATCATCATCATCATCATCATCATCCTCATCATCCTCATCATCATCATCATAATCAGCATCATCATCTTCAGCAGCATCATCATCACCATCAGTATCATCATCATCAGCAGCAGCATCATCATCTGCATCACCACCATCTACATCATCATCATCATCAGCATCATCATCATCCTCATCATCAGCATCATCAGCAGCAGCATCAGCATCAGCTTCAGCATCATCATCACCCATCATCATCACTCTTCCGCATATTCCTCCTTATGGTAATCATCCTCATTGTCATCATCATCACCACCACCGCCATCATCATTATCATCATCATCTTCATCATCATCATCATCATCATCATCATCCCCATCATCATCATCATCAGCAGCATCATCAGCATCATCAACACCACCACCACCATCATCAGCAGCATCATCATCAGCATCATCATGATCAGCATTAACACATCATCAAATCATCATCAGCAGCATCATCAGCATCATCAGCATCAGCATCATCCCCCTCCTCCTCCTCCTACACCTCCTCCTCGTCCTCCTCCTCCTCCACCTCCTCCTCCTCCTTTTCCTCCTCCTCCTCCTCCTCCGCCTTCTCCTCTATCATGTGTTTCCGTCCTACCCGTCCCCATCTCGCCCACTTGAACGCCCGAAAGCTGACCACTGGTATGTTTCCCCCCGAATGTTGGATCAGTTCCTTCCTCATCCACATCCTAATCCTCCGCCTCCGCCACCGCCTCCACATACACACACACACACACACACCTTGCTCCACCTCATTCACCTCGAGCTCCCTTTTCTCCACTACCGCCGCCGCCGCCGCCTCCTCCTCCTGGCGTCCTAGTACTCCTGATCCACCACCACCACCACACCCACCACACCCTGCACCTACACCTATTTGTCCCCTCCACCACCTCCTACTTGCTCCACCTGCTCCTTCTTGTCCTCCTCCTCCTCCTCCTCCTCCTCCTCCTCCTCCTCGTACACAGTCTCCTCATCTCTCTCCGCCTCCTCTTCAACCTCCGTATCCACACAATGTTCTTGCTTCTCCCCTCCTCATCCCTCTCTTCCTTCTTAACCTGCACATCGTTATCATGCTCCTGCTCCTTTCCCGAACATGCTGCTGCCGTTGCCACAAGACCCCTCAGCCGTCGCGCCCGCGCAGAAGCCCAGCGAGCCCGCCCAGGCCGCGCCTCGGCTCGCACACGGGCGCCGGATTGTCGTTGAAGGCACCCGTGACGCAGGGGCCCTGAGCAGACAGCAGGGGCAACGGCCACGCTGGTGAGCCCCCCCGCCCGCACTCGGGTCGGACGAAGGGGAAGGGGGGGGGGGTAGACCGGTGGGGATTAGCGAATCAGCTCCGACGGAGGGCGCCCCCCTCCGAGGGCCGTCGGGGGGCACACTGGGGACCCTCGGCGTGCCATTCGGACGCCCTCCCGAAGGATATTCGCGGGCTCTCGGGGGAGCGCCGAAGGCCCGTCAGAGGACCAGGAGGAGAGGCGTTTGGTAGAGCGATTGGGGAGGACTGGTGGAGGGAGGGGAATTGTCGAGTAGCCTCGTCTCTATCAGGGAGGCGTCGCGACGGAAACTGTGCCCGAAGATCAGCCCGAGCGTCACCGAGGCTCCCGACCGCAGCCAAGTGTGGCCGAAATGTTCGGTTCGAAACCAAGCCGATTTTCAAGTTTGGCCACAAGTTCGGTCACACTACGTTTTCGATCACGACATCAGGCACGTTGTCGGTCACCGATTGTTGTTCGGCCACCTAAATTTCGGCTGATAGGAGCGGGGTGCCATGAGAATTGCGCAGATGTCAGCCGCATCCTCCTCTTCCTCCTCCTCCTTCTCCTCCTCATCTTATTCGTCGGCTTCTTCTTGTGATTATCAACATGTATGTGTAGCATGAGTGTTAAGACGATGTATTATTAATACCAGAAATGCGAATACGATTTGTAAGTATATGGGTAATGCTATTATTAGCACAGAAAACTTTATTAGTATCAACATTGCAAGTGATATTAAGTTTGACACTGCTAACGCTAGTGTTCGTGCGATTGGTATTGGCATTGCGAGTGTGATTGGTATTGTTAGTGGCACTACTAATACTGATAACAGTACCACTGGTAGTAGAGGTCGTATTTCTTGTTATGGTAGTAGTCGTAATAGTAGTAGTAGTAGTAATAGTAGTAGTAGTAGTAGTAGTAGTAGTAGGAGTAGGAGTAGGAGTAGGAGTAGGAGTAGGAGTAGGAGTACTACAACAACTACTACTACTACTACTACTACTGGGAGTAGTAGTAGTAGTAGCAGTAGCAGTAGCAGTGGCAGTAGTATTAGTAGTGGTAGCAGTAGTAGTAGTAGCAGTAGTAGTAGCAGGTAGTAGTAGTAGTAGTAGTAGTAGTAGTAGTAGCAGGTAGTAGTAGTAGTAGTAGTAGTAGTAGTAGTAGTAGTAGTAGTAGTAGTAATAGTCGTAGTAGTAGTAGTAGTAGTAGTAGTAGTAGTAGGACGTATGGCGCATGTGATTAGTCGCCTCACTATGACTGAGCAACTCATCACTTCGATTGATACTTGAATTAATATTAAAACTCGTAGTAGTAGTAGTAGTAGTAGTAGTAGTAAGAGCAGCAGCAATGGTAATAGCAATAGAAGAAGTGGTAGTAGTCATCGTCGTCGTCGTCGTCGCAGTCGTAGTCGTAGTCGTAGTCGTAGTCGTAGTCGCAGTATTAGCTTCATGGATAGTAGTAGCACAAGAAGTAGTAGTAGTCGTCGTCGTAGTAGTAGTAGTAGTAGTCGTAGTAGTAGTCGTAGTAGTAGTAGTAGTAGTAGCAAAAATAATGTCATCATATGTATTAGTATTGCTATCCATCGTCCT